CATTTGCTGTCATGTTAAACTTATATTAAAGTTTTTCTTCATTACCCATTTAAGCCGTCTCCAGCCATTATTAGTTCATTACTTTGCTTTTTTCCATGAAGCTTTTTATCTACTTTTTAACTTTTCCACAATTTTTTAAGCATCTAAAATACTAATTAATATCTTTTAAGGCACAAAGGTTTTCATGTAATAAGAGAGAGAGAGAATTTATTCACTGTATTAGTGATAATGTTCTATGGTACATGTTTCGGCTTGTACGGGTTTGTATTTTTTTTGAAAGTTCAGTAAAGAAAAACAAAAATTCTGTGATCTATTTACTAAAGCTATAAAACTTGTTTTTCAAAATGATAATCGAAACTTTAAGGAGCTATTTTTATGGAAATGAAAAAGACAGTAGAGAGCTATTAGGTTATTAGAAATAGAGATGTAATGAATAGTGTTTCAGCCAGATTATGAATATCCAGCCAGGTTCTTCCTTTGATCAAATGTTTGGTTGCTGAGTAATTGATATTTATTTCAACAAATAGCTTCTTTGGTTTCACAGGACACTGGCATCTGTGGAGCATACAAGTGAATATGAATTTTTTAAAAAGTTGAACAATTTTCAGATTGAATAAGATGAAGTAACAATACTTTAATAAAGGAGTACTTAATAACTCCAAATGAATATGTGTAGTTGACCCTGGCTAGTATTTACAAATATCAACAGTATTTTTTTTATAATTTTTTACCATGTTTTATATCGTTGTGTGGGTTCTGTCGAATTATTTGGTACAAATAATGTGAAGTTCAGTTCATGTAATAATAGTGGATTAATTTGTTTCTTCAGCAACATTTGTTATAGGCTACCTTCACTTTTTACACAAGTTGTAGGCCTAAGTTCATAAATAGTGTTATCACTTTCAACAGAAACAGCAGTAACTAACAAATACAAAACTTTACAGAATTTCCTTGCTAATTGATATAGTGACTGAATAGATGTGATAACTCTTATTGTCTAACACTGAACTAAAATACTCAGTGAATACTCATTAACTTCTCATTTATTACTCACTACTCATATTCAGTTAGATACTGCCCAAAATTACTAGATTCTTGATGTCATTGAAATGACAAACACCCTCTAGCAAATATCCAAGGTAAAACATTAAAAATGTAGCTAACAGTAATACAGATAGAAAAAATAATTTTATGAACAATCTAGCTTTATCTGAATGAACATGTTAGTGTTTTTGTAAAACTTAATCTGTTGTATGTCCTATAATAAATACAAGCTGTAATGTGTCAGTAGGTAACTTAGAACGAGTCAGTAAACAAAATATATACATATTTGTTACTTGCAATGGACATTGATTTATCAGGCTCTAACTTAGTTAGTGGTTACTATTAGTGGTGTAGAAAGTTATTTAGTTACCTCTGTGTTTACTGATTATTATGATTGGTTTAAAAAAAAGTCTCGTATGTGATTAATATGAAGTAATTGGTAATTTCAAGTTGTGTAGCATATTAATTTCATGTGGTGGCAAGAGAAATAATCTTCTGCTACCCCTGTGCATAAACACTTGAAAAAGAAGAATGTTCAAGTCTACAATGAATTACAACAATATTTTTAGTGTACTGGATATAATATTTAAGTATATCTTCCTACTTTCTTTAATAGATTTCAGGTTATACTGCTGCCAGTAAACATAAAAAATTCAACTACTTGACAGCCAAGTGAGTAGTAATATGCATTACAACCTTAATTGAAAGCACACACCTGTTAAATGAAATAACTAGTAAAAATAATAACTTGTACATTTTGAATTTCAGGATATGTTTATTTTTTAAAATAATTTTCAGATGTATGGGACAACAATTTTTGTGACAGGAGGAGCAGGATATGTTGGATCTCACACAGTGTTGGTGTTATTAAATGCTGGTTATGAAGTAGTCGTAGTGGACAATCTTATTAATGCTGTACCTGGTGAGTATTCATTGTATTATTCTTAAAACATAAGAATGAGCACAATGAAAAAGTATTGCTGTTTTAGTTGGTGCATGATTTAAAGGGAGATATTTATGGAGAATGGTATGCTGCTCAGTATTATGAAGTTAGTTGACTCAGAGGAACTAGCATGAGAGAATAAAAACACAAAGACAATGGAAAATTAAGACTTGTATAATGTGTATTAAATGTTACTGTAATGTCAAGTTATTCAGCTACAAAAATATTTCTGTCTTCTTATTTCACTAAAATGTTGTTGACTATTATCATTAACATTCTTTAACTAGTATATAAAAATAAAGTAACTTATTCCGTATTGAACTTTGTTCCATAACTTAACATGAGGCATGAATCAAATGTTGCAGCATGTGTACTATCTGTATCAGCGGTTCCCAAACCTGGGGTTGAAATTAGAGTTGTGAGTTTGGTAGAAAAAAATTATATATGTTTAATATGTAATAATTATCTGTATGAACAAAGCTGAATGGGCCAGTTGAAATACACTTTTGAAGAGACAGGGTCACACAGATTCGGGATGTGTGAAATGGGGCTAGCATTAAAAAAAGCTTAGGAACTGCTGGTCTATATTTGGTTCTAGGTTTATTCATTTGGTTTGATGCAATTCTATAAAACCTCTAGAAGTTGTTAATTCAATATGCACCTTTGTCTATTGGGATACTTATTGGTAACTTTGTTGCTTGTGTCACCTTTTTCTGCCATATAATAGAGATCATCTTTGGTGGCTCATCATTTATTAGCTATACATGTTTATCTGATATGATAAGTTTATATGAGTTTAGTCATCAAAGAATAACCATTCTAGCTTGACTTGTTGGTCACACTAGTATCCACTGTATTGTAAGACTAAGAGTAAATTTGTGTTCTCTATATTTTTGGCTATTGCAGCTAGTGAAACAACATTTTCCATTCACCACACATGATGTTTATATGGATCTTCTTTTCTGGTCCCAATTTCAGCAAGTCTTATGTTCTTGCTTGTCACATCCTGGGTGCTCAGAATCTTGTGGCAGATCGTCTCTCTCATCCTAACAAGATTCTACCAATGAAGTAGTCTCTTGCTTCTCAAGTGATCTGGTGGTTATGCTTCCAGCTTGGTAACCTTCTTTTGGATGCCTTTGTCACTTAGCTCATTACCAAACTTCCCCTTCTTCTGGTCTCCATTTCTGCATGCTTTGGCTTTAGATGTGTTCATTCAGGATTGGTTTAGTATCAACCTTTATGGTTATCCTGCTATCCATCTCCTTCCACATTTTCTCTCTCTTTTTCAAACCACTCCATGTCGAATCCTTCTCATCACTCTTTTCTGGCCTGCACAACTATGGTTTCCACTTTTGAACCTCCTTCAGTCATCTCCTCCCATACATCTTCCTCTTTCCTGGTCCCTTCTCCGGCAATCTCATTCCTCAGTCTTTCATCCTGCTGTAGACATGCTCTGTCTTCACATGTGGGTTTTGCCCAGTCCCTTGTGAGACAATCTAGACTCTCTAAATGAGTAGCCTTCTTTCTTTCTTATTTTGTCTACTCTTCTTCCTTGCTGGTTTACCAGAGTGAATGGTGCAATTTTTGTTTCTGGTTTTTGCATCATGGCTTATCATCTTCTCAACCAACTATTCTTCACCTTTCCAATTTTTTTACTTAGCTCTTCGACAATGGTTTATCTGTTTCTACCATTGGTGGATATAGGGAAGCATTATCCAATACTTTTCTTTGATCTTTTTCAGTGATATATTTACCTCTTCCATCATTCCTCTCTTATTACATTCTTTTTCCTGCTTCATCCTTCCCATCCAGTTGCCCCACTAGATTCGAACCTTCATCCTTACCCTTTCCCCATTTTGACCCTTTGGTCTCATTTTTTACTTCTCTTTGCTTATGAACATCATAGGTTAAATGTCTTTGCTATTGATGTGTCACACATTCTTTATCATCAATTTGTATGTCCTTCTTTAGCCTGATTGTAGTTTTTTCCCCAAAACATCAGCAGCACATAAAAGAAACAGCACATTCACACCTATTTTCCTTTCATCTCTTTCTCCTCTATATTCCTGTTCTGATCCTGATCATTTTCTTTGTCTTGTTCATCTTCTTCATTGTTATATAACCTGCACAGCTTCTTTTCATGTCTCCTGTTCTAACCTTTCCATCCAGTGAAACTCCTCCTCTACACAGGACCTCTCTTTTGTGAACCTTACTGGATGGCTGTGTCAGATTATTCATCTGGCTTATGTTTCATTGTCTAAGGATTCTTGTTGCATCTTCAAAGTTTCCTTTCACCAGATCTGTCATCTCTCCTTATCTCTGACTGCTCACTTCTGTCTTCCTTTAGAGGAGATAGTGCAGGATGACATGTGGACTACACTTCACACTTTTGTCATGCACTACCTTCATTATTTGACAGTCTCTTCCTCATCTGGCTATCACTTGCTGTCTATAGCCATTTTACATACCCCATGTTATCTCTGACAGAGTAAGTTCTCACTTTTTTTATTTCTTACCTTTACAGTGGCCCATTTATACATACTTGGATCCTGCTATGTGGTGAGTGTTACCTGTCCAGGTATACTTAACTTTAAATCTGCACCATATAGCTGTACAAGTCTATAATGCTCAATGAAGAGGTGGGGTGTTTCACAAGACCACTAGAGGTTGTTTTGCAGTATCTTGCTTCATAAATATGGCTCTCACCAGACTGTACCAACTAACTATAATGAGTAAAGTAGTGTCGGGATCGCTGCCCATCCCTCCTGTCCTAGTTGAATAAATTGGGACCGGCCTGTTTTTCAAAATAGGGTTTTTGTGGCCATCCATTGCACTGTCTTACAGTGCTGCATTCCTTTGTACTCCTCACTGCATTGTTACCCCCTCCCCTCTTCCAGTGGAGTATGGGAGTCCTTGTCACTTACCAGTTCATAACCACTGGGGTGGTTGACCATGGAGGCTTCTTCCCGAATGTGATCAATTTCACTCAGTTGAAAGTAGGGTGGGGTATTCTGCAGGTATAGATAGTGAGTACTCTCCTCCTACTGCAGATTGAAAGAAAAATACCCAATGCTGCCTGGTTTTGGACTGGATGAATCCATCACATGCAGTTCACCCCTCCAGCTGGCTTTCCCCCATGCTTCCACTACCTAGATGTTGCCTCCTTGGCTTGATTTTGTTTTCTCCTTTGTAGATTTTCTTAATTCCCTTACATGGTTTTCAGAGAGGCAACCAGTTGGAGACACAAAAGTTAATCTTCCAATATTCTCGATTTCTGAGATAAATATAAATTTGATTAACCCACCTGTGAAGATCTTCCCATCTATTATAGCTTTGAATGAATTTATATAAACTGTGTGCCATTATTTTATGGACATGTTTATAATCAATAGGAAGAGCAAACTTAAATGTATGTGACCTTTGCATTTATTTAGTTTTTGCAGTCAGAGTTGGTAGTTTGCAAGAAAATATTATATGTGAAGTGAATTTATTCCTCAAAGTAGAAATGGAATTATTTTAACCTATCTATAGTGTAGTTAGAAAGCCAGGTACATTGTAGTAGTTTTAGTACATTTTATTCTAGTGTATGGTATATTTTTTGTTTTAAGTTGCTTATTTAAAAGCTACATGAATTATGTTTTAGACAACAGCATTGCAAGAAAAAGTAGGCTTGCTAAAGCACAGCACATGAGTGCAAGATGGCCTCAAGGGTAAAGTAGGTGTTAAATTTCATGTCTTTTATGTATTTTTTTTAAACAAAAGTATCAAAAAATTTTAAAATTGAAAACAATTAGGGTTATATAACAAAACGTAAATGAAAAAAAGAATTAAATAAAAAATTAATCTGACACTTTCATGAAGTGTATATGGTTTGAGGTCATGTGATGTAACCTGATTGTTAGTTTACTCTAAGTTCTCATGCTTTGAGTAATTGCTTTTTATTTACTGAGAGAGAGAGCTCAAAGTACAAGAAAACCATAGAATTAATGCAAATGGGAAGAAGGTTAGAAGTTAAGGCTATTAGAATAATTAGTTGTTATTGTCTATTACTGTCTGTGATGCTTTAAGGGGTAAAAAAAAGATATTCCTGATTTTACTTCATATTTTTCAACTTTTTGTTTTACTAGACACCTTGATGATTTTGCTACTGTTAGTATTAGAGTATGGATATTGTTACATAAAGTTTTGACAGTGTTTTGGTAATTGCTTAATTAATGATGCTGAAAATGTGGTTTTTATTGATATATACTGAATTTACTCCCAGCAGGTAGACCTTAGTACTAGCTAGTATGGAAACTTGAGGATGCTGTTTTTCACTGAAATGTTTATCAATTAACAAATGAAAACTTGTCTCAAAGATACGTCCAAAACCACCCTCTTTTGGAGTTTCTGGATTGAACTTACTTTTAATATTCAACAAATTGTAGTATAAAAACATCCCTTCGCTCCTTAAGGATGTGTTAAATTCACAGAAAAATCTTTAGTAACAATACTTTGTTCAGATTTTTTTTTTTTTTGTGCAACAGAATTGTGATTTTTACTTATAACTTGCCATATTTTGTGAAAATACACTTGGTATATTCAGGGTTATAGTATGCATAGTTTCATAATTGGTCAAACTGACTGAGCTCATAGGATTAATTAATGAGTGTCTATTGATTGCTTAGGAAATTTCACTATTTGCTATGCTGTACACAGGACTCAGTACTTGATTTCAGTGGAACAGGATTCATCCAATAATCAGAATTGTGAAAAGCAACAATAACCTCTTTCATCATCATTATCCTGTAAAATTAAGTTTTAAATAAGTATGAAGTTTACCAGCATGCAGGATTAGAAGTGATATATAATAATTAAGTTCATTGACTTGCAACTTGTATAAAAGTTACCTATTTTTAACAATGAAGCTCTGAGAGACATCCAGGAGGCACGCATGTAGTATTTCCTCAACTCTCTTCCAAATTTTGCAGAATATGCAA